CATTGCCCATGGTGGTCATGTGAATGGTTAAGATTGAGGTGTTTACTATCAATTTACTTACCATCTTATATGAGGGGGATATAAACTATGTGAGCAATTTGAGAACCCATGAAACGGGCCCCCAAATGCAGTGCAAAACAAGGTATTCAAAAGTCGAGAACAGACTTTTTGGGGTACAGAAAACTATTGCAGCCTAAGGGGGTCATTTGATTCAGAGCTGGCCCTAGCTAGGGGTGGACGGATCTGTCAGATTTGGTTTCTGCTTCTCCCGATTCCAGTCAGGAGAAAAGATTGCCATAGTTCCACACCAGTTTTATTTATTTAACGAAATCTATATACTTCTCGTCATAAAACCTCTTAAGCGGTTTACAAGAACCTTTGAAAACTAGCAATTAAAACATTTTGAAACATTTAAGGGTAATTAACAGTGATTTTATTTGGAAAACATGCCAGCGTCTATGTGTTTAGATGGGCTTGCCTAAACAAACAGGTCCATATTGCTTTGCATGTGGTGAAATTGAGCCGAATGGGCCTTCTAAGAACCTGCTCTGTGTACAGCACCACTTGCTATTTTCCCTGTGAATCAGTTTTCTAGAAATCTCCACGCTGTTTGCTGCCTGTGGTAATTTTTGCTAACCCTTCAGTTTGAGGTAAAAAAAAAAAGTCATTGTATGAGGTAAATTTTTTTTTATAAGTCCCTGTGGAGAGCACTGCAGCATTTGCATCTATTATTTAGAAAAGACGTGGTCACAGGTGACAACAGAAATAAACACACTCACGCTCCTTTCTTTTAAGAGTGTAGACACGGCATGCTTATATTTATAAGAACCTGTCAGCTTCATATCTTTCCCTTTGCAACGGCTACATAAGGACAGGAGGTTAAAACAAAACAAAAAAAAGCCCCTTTCAGTTTATGCCTTTTATGGTAATTATAAAGGGATCCTCTTGGACTCTCCCCCCCCCTTTCTAAATGGCCCTGCTAGGTCTGAAGTTGTAAGCAGCAGCCCACAGATATAAAGTGGTACTACAGTAAGGGTATTTACATAGCCCATTAAGTTCCAGCAATATTTATAATCTGATATACTAAACACCAAGGTCCAACTATGCAATTATGAAACATTAAAGTAGACTTTTGGGTGGGAAAGCTACAGTAAAAAACCAAATGTTTGACACGAGCTTGGGATGACCCATTTTGATGAGAACATATCGCACTCCCGGCCTCTGAATTAATCATGCAGGAAGAGGCATTTGTACTTGACGCATTGCAAAAATGTTATGGCCTATCAATGCGTCCTTTGTCAGCTCACTTTAAAATGCACCAAGCTGATGAGATGGGAAAAGAAAGGAGCAAAATGAAAGGCTCCTCTGGAAAGCAGACACTGTGGATTGGTTGATAGAATGGCAGGTTTGGCATGGGAAATATTAAGGCACCTCATTGTGCTGGTGTGACCTATTCCCCCTCCTTCTTCCACCCAGTAAACCTCAGGCATACTAGGAGTCAAGCAACTCGGTAGTGGCACCCTCCCTGTGGAACACCCACCCTTCAGATGTCAAGCAAATAAACAACTATTTGACTTTTAGAAGACATCTGAAGGCAGCCCTGTAACGGGAAGTTTTTAACATTCGATGTTTTAGTATGTTCTGATATATGCTGTGAGCCGCACAGAGTGGCTGGGGAAACCCCAGCCAGACGGGCAGGGTATAAATAAAATTATGATTATGATTTTAAAGGCTGCAGATATGCGCCTGCATAGCTGTGACTCAGAAGAACATCTGCAACAGCTTCCCAGGACATAGAAGAGTTGGCCAAGAAAGGACGGCAGAAAGAAAGAGCCAGCGTGGTGCAGTGGTTAAGAGTGGTGGACTTGTAATCTGGTGAACTGGGTTCGCTTCCCTGCTCCTCCACATGCAGCTGCTGGGTGACCTTGGGCTAGTCACACTTCTCTGAAGTCTCTCAGCCTCACTCACCTCACAGAGTGTTTGTTGTGGGGGAGGAAGGGGAAGGAGAATGTTAGCCACTTTGAGACTCCTTCGGGTAGTGATAAATCCAAACTCTTCTTCTTAGCTCTGAGTCACAGAAGCATCGATGGAAGGAACATGGAAACTGAACTAAGCCATGTGGCCTTCAGAATCCAATTATGCTTGTACTTTACTGTGGGTGTAGCCACACGTACCTTTCCACTGCCCTTTCCAGGCACGGTCCACAATTTAATGTTGTGTGTTCCAGCGCCATTTTTTATTTGATTTTTTCGGCTCCAGAGCTTTCCTTGTGAAAACTCATTCTACGAAGTTCAATCGGAGCAAACATCCATCTGTGGAAACCCCAATTTGACCTTTGCTCCTATTCAGCTTTAAAGAGCGGGTTTTCGTGAGGAAAGCTTGGGGCAACGAAAAAGCGGAGGGAAACAAAACTCAGACATTGAGCGTGCCTGGAAAGAGAAGGGTGAAAAGTAAGTGAGGATAATAAGCAGAACATCAATGCTACACCCTACAGTCCAGGAAAAGTTTTAGTGCATGATCTGATGCCTTCTGCTTCAAGCTTTATTTTTCAATCTGCATCATTATGTCCTAGGTGTCCTAAGCAATAGTTAAAAGTTTTGTTCCCTCCCACTCCCCCCACTTCTTCTTTTACTTTTTACAAATGCACATCAGCATGAATGGAAACCCGCTCGGCAGATATCATAAACACTGGAAAAGAAAATTATATATATAGAATGATATTCAAAGTATGCTAGAAGAGTTGTTGCATTAAAGAAGTCACAAAAGCGTGACAGGTTTTGACTACACGAAAAGACTTGTGCTACCCACACTATTTGAACTGGAAACCATGTTTTTTATTCCAAGATGTTTGGGAGTTCGGGACATAGCAAGCATTAAAATGAAGTCACTCTACACATACAGAGCTGGTGTAGTGTCTATGGCTGCTCTTTATGAAGAGTCAGTGGGGCTTACATCCAAGTAAACAGGCTCAGGATTGCACTATTAAGAAACTGAGCTGTGACTCAATGGACATCCTTGGTGGCATCTCTTAGCCTCAGTCTCCCATCTGCAGTATGGGAATACCAATACTGACCCAAAGCCCAGGGTTGTCGCAAAGATTAATGATATAATTCAGGTGCTGTGGACACTCTAGAGCACTATAAAAAGCCATCATTTTCTGTCTGCTGAAATTAAAGATTTGAATAGCAAGCTAACAAAAAGGGAAGCCTTAACAACAGGCAAAACATAATACATATATGACGACGTAACATAAAAATGCATACAATAAATTAGTATCGGAAACGGCGTATGTGAAAACACGCAAGTCACAAAACGAGTATTTGGAGAATTTAATGAGAACCGTTGTCACAGGAATGGGGAAGCCATGGCACTCCAGCTGGACTCCAGCTCCTAAGAGCAAGGCAGTGGTCAGGATGATGGCAGCTGTGCTGCAACATCTGGAGGGCCACAGATTCCCCATCCCTGTGTTCAAAAGACAGCCATTCATCCCACGTACAACTATTCCAAATGCAAATCCATTCATTCACTCATTCATTCCAAGAAGAATGAAGAAACAAGTCCAATAACTTTGCCCAACAAGGCCAGAGGCTCCTCTCATGATTAAGGACCCAGTATGGGGGAATTGAAAGTCTGAAGAGGGGACGCATTTGAATACATCACTTTTTGCCAACCTGGAACCCTCCAGATGTTTTTGGACTACAACTCCCATCAGCCCCAGCCAGCTTGCACCGATGGGAGTTGTACTCCAAAAACATTTGGAGGTTTGCAAAGGCTGCTTCGAAAGAGAATTGGATAAACCTCTTTGTAAACTGCAGCATCCTTTTGAGCCTTCTTAGTCAATATAGTAGGGATGCGGGTGGCGCTGTGGGTTAAACCACAGAGCCTAGGACTTGCCGATCAGAAGGTCGGCGGTTCAAATCCCCACGACGGGGTGAGCTCCCTTTGCTCGGTCCCTGCTCCTGCCAACCTAGCAGTTCGAAAGCACGTCAAAGTGCAAGTAGATAAATAGGTACCGCTCCGGTGGGAAGGTAAATGGTGTTTCCGTGTGCTGCTCTGGTTTGCCAGAAGCGGCTTAGTCATGCTGGCCAGATGACTCAGAAGCTGTACGCCGGCTCCCTTGGCCAATGAAGCGAGATGAGCGCCACAACCCCAGAGTTGGTCACGACTGGACCTAATGGTCAGGGGTCCCTTTACCTTTACCTTAGTCAATATAGTAGCTAATTCCCAAGATGGCAAAGATTTTTATAGCCAGTAAAAAAATAGCCACGTTGAGGACAGAGGTTATGTGTGAAGAAACAGGCTCTACCCACTTCTACCTCTAGGTTGCCTGGAAGGGAATGTGTCCCTTCAGCTAATAAGGTTCCCTGCCCATGGTTTATAAGGTACCGCATACCTCAGTCTATACAGTCTTTTTTCTGTCTCCGTGTGGTTCACCGTTCCTCCTTTGTCAAGTTCCAATCTCTATCTCAAGACTCATTGCACAACCCTGAGCCAAGTCATTGGCTCCCAACCGCAGTTCCCATTTGTAAAATGGTAATAATAGTGACCGACATCACTGGCTTGTTGAGAGAGCATGTGCAATAATGATGGCGAAACCATTTGCAAATTAAAAGTGCAACATAACAATCAATACTCAGGGCACAGCCAAACTGTAGGAACAGAGGGAAAATATGCCAGTGTGTGATAAGAGCAAGGATGTTCTATTAATCAAAGTTCGTGCAAGCTGAATTCTGCAGTTTGTGTGTGTGTGTCCTACAAAAACCTTGATTCTTTTCTTCTGCAAAGGTCTGTGTATGACCTCTTACCCAAGCCTCCACCCCCTTAGGCTTCTTAGAGTTCACCAGATTTAAAAGTGCCATTAGACTTTGAAGATGGGCTATATTTTGCGGCGGCTGCTCTTCAGTTCTAGGGTGGTGTCTGCAAGCCCCCATGTCTTTACCCGATATGGCTTGGCCAAAAGGGACTAGTGAGCCAAATGAGTTGGTCTGTGGGGGCCTCATTAGGTCCATGAGCCAAAGGTTCCCCACCCTTGAACCAAAGCCTAGTAATACTTTCTTCTGAAACTATGGACCAGCATGCCAATGTGGGTTGATATCACGATCTGCATCTATGTAACAGAGCTGGTCCTAAGTCTGGCGATGTTTGGCCTCATGCAAATGGGGAAGTGTTTGCTGAAAGAACGTGGACAAGCAAGCAATATGTTTAGTGGGCATCTGGGAGAATGATTCAGATGCGAGGGTGATGAATTGAAAGTGACTGGCAGGAACTTCAGCACAGACAAAAGGAAGTTCTTCAGACCTCACCTAATTTATCTATGGAACTCATTATCACAAGGTGTGGCAATGGCCAGCATCTTAGATGACCTTAAAGAGGATTAGATACATTTGTGAAATATTAGGGTACCAATGGCTGCCATTCATGATGCCTATATATACCATCCCGGTTCAGGGGAAGTGCATCTCCAAAATTATCAAGTTTTAGAGGGCAACCACGGTAGAGGACTCTTGCCTTCATGTCTTGCTGTGATCTTTTTAGAGATATCTGGCTGAACACTGTTGGAAAAAATGGATGCTGAACTAGAGGGACATTGGTCTGAGGCAGCACAACTTTTCTTTTTCTTAATCCAGTAAATCCCAATTATTTTCAGCATGGAATTGGCAGGGGTCAGAATGATAACTAATAAAAATGCATCAAAACACACCACTTCCTATGGCCCAATGACACACAAATCCTACAGCTGAAAACAAGTTCTAAGGCTAAACTCAAAGGATACCACGACCTGCACTAGGCCATCCCCACATTTTGACATGTAGACAAAAACAGGGTAAAAACTCTACAGACGTTATAAAATGTTATCACGCTGACTGAGCTGTACAATGCAGCGATATGCCCTATGATCTTTAGTCTTTTGCAGGCACCCACGTGGCTTATATCACTGTGGTTTCCGTTTGGAGGGAAAACTGAGTCGCTGAATTACGATGCAACTGGGAGATGCTTTCTGAGCCGTTCCGAGAAATAGAAGAGCTGTGAAGTCTGTAATCTCGGCCCATTCTTTGGTTCAAACACCAACTCCGCCATTTTCTTTTCAGTTCGCCTTGTACCTAAATGTAAACAGAGCGCACCAGCACGCAGAGTATTAGGTGTGCACATTCATAAGAAGTGTACATCAATTTGGGGGTCAGGGTGGGGGCTCGGAAAGGTCAACAATGCTCCCCCCCCTACACAATGCTTTAACATGCAGCAAGGTTGTATAATAATTCCTTTTCGGTAAGATATTTCAGATATACAACGCCGAGAATGGATTCCTCTGAAACAGAGACAGCAGAGCTGCCAAGAATCCTTGGTCAGAACTGAATCCAAATTTGCACCCACCCATACGCATCCAAATGTTCTCCAGGGTCCCTCCTCTATCTGGGCAACACCTGGCAAGCTTACCTGTTAGTCATGGTGGGTGGCAGTGGAGTTGCCATATTAATTACCCCAAATGCCCCTGATGCAATATTGCTCCAGGGCACTGTGGGAAATGAAGGCCAGACCATCTTTTCAAAGCACTATGATACCATTTTAAATAATCATGGCTCCCCTCCACACACACCCAAGAATTACGGGAGCTTCCGTTTGTTAAGGGTGGTGAGAGTTGTTAGGAGACCCCTATTCCCCTCACAATTCCCAGAGTTTCCTACAAAGATGGGCTGGTAATCGTAGCCTAACAAACTTAACAAACTGCAGCTTAACAAACTACACTTCCCATGATTCTTTGGGAAAGGCATGGCTGTTTAAAGTGGTATCATAGTGTTTTGTATGTGTGGTGTGAATGTGGCTTAAAATGGCACCTTCCCTATCGCAGGAAACACTACCTTGGGGGTTCAGCTGCCTGATCTGGTCAGGAGGGTAGAGGACCTTTATTAGCAGAGAAGTGGGGTCCTGATGGGGTGCCATGAACTGTCTAGTAATGCTGGGTGCTAACACCAGCCCTGGGTCCCTCACAAAGCCTCAAAAGCCCAAGGAACTAGAATGCTGTGGGTTGCACCTGTAAGCTATAGCCCTTCCTTAGTAATTACCACAAGAGACTAAATAAAAACTTACTTCGCTGTTCAGAAAGCAATATAGGACTGCAACAACCAGGCCCTGTAAATGGGAAATATGAATAAGTTAAACATAACGATAAACTATTTCAGTAAAAATAATGAACTACGTCAGTTTAAACACCAACACTGGGATATATCTTACCTGAAAAGATCCCAGACATAACTCAAAAATGATCTGATAGTTATTAGAAATGCGAATCGGAAAGACCGCGAACAACATGTAGTGAACTCCAAACAGTGGTATAAGCAGCAATGTCGATTTTGCAAGTCTCCTAAAAGACAACAAACCAACACACGAAAAAGTAAGGATGAATCAGAGCTTAACAGAGATCCCCTAAATTTCCGTTTTCCCAACAGGGACTTCTGGGGAGTTTCACTTACTTATACTGGGACTGGTCATTGCCTCCAACATCTGGCGATCTCAGCTTTTGCAGTAGAATTCTTATAATGCTGATGAAAAGTACAAAATTCACCTAGAAGACAGCATGCATGCACACCAGTAAATCCACGCACCTCTCCCTGGCAGTAAAAGTTCAATAAGAGTAAACTGAAAAACTAACAATTTATAGTCCTTTCATGATACCCTACATGAAAAGGTACATGATGAAGCTGCTTCACTCTAATAGCAGGGCTGGACCTGATTAAAAATTCTGGCCCATGGTCAGTTAGTAAACTTTGTAGCTGAGCAACGATTTGAATATGGACCTCCCCAGTCTGATACTCTAAGCCAGCGGTTCTCAACCTGTGGGTCCCCAGATGTTGTTGGACTACAACTCCCATCATCCCTGAGCTCTGGCCTTGCTAGCTAGGGATGATGGGAGTTGTAGTCCAACAACATCTGGGGGCCCACAGGTTGAGAAAGGCTGCTCTAAGGCATGGGTAGGCAAACTAAGGCCCAGGGGCCGGATCCGGCCCAATCGCCTTCTAAATCCGGCCTGCAGACGGTCCGGGAATCAGCGTGTTTTTACATGAGTAGAATGTGTCCTTTTATTTAAAATGCATCTCTGGGTTATTTGTGGGGCCTGCCTGGTGTTTTTACATGAGTAGAATGTGTGCTTTTATTTAAAATGCATCTCTGGGTTATTTCTGGGGCATAGGAATTCGTTGATTTTTTTTATTCAAAATATAGTCCGGCCCCCCACAAGGTCTGAAGGACAGTGGACCGGCCCCCTGCTGAAAAAGTTTGCTGACCTCTGCTCTAAGCCCTACACAACACTAAGCTTAGGGGCCTGTAGCTGAAAGGCAGGATAGGACACAGCTTAGTTGGTTAGAGCATAGTGCTGATAATGTCAAGGTTGTGAGTTCCATCCCCATACGGGCCGCCTGCATATCCCTGCATTGTAGGGCTTTGGACTAAATGACCGTCAGGGTCCCTTTCAACTATACAAATCTAGGATTCTAGGACTTTGATAGGCAGGTCATTTGTAACTGCAGGACCGCATAAAGTCCTATGTAGTTCTCAGTTCAGATTTTCGCTAGTCTAAAACAACACCTTCACCGAAGGAAATCTAGGATTCTAGGACTTTGATAGGCAGGTCATTTGTAACTGCAGGACTGCATAAAGTCCTATGTAGTTCCTATGTAGATTTTCGCTAGTCTAAAACAGCACCTTCACCGAAGGAGAGTATAAGGCAGCCTTCTGCAATCTGGTGCCCGCCAGATGTTTAGCTTCCACCATACCTGACCATTGGCTATGCAAGCAGGGGCTGATGGGAGCTGTAGTCAAAAACCTCTGGAGAGCACCAGGGTGGGGGAAGAGTATCATAAGGACAGAGAATCATAGAATTGCAGAGTTGGAAGGTACACTGAGGTTCATGTACTCCAACCCCTGCAATGCAGGAATCACATCTATTGAATCCTAATCACCTGTCTCTCACCTGTTTGAGTCTTTGCCTCAAATTCTTTGGCTTGTTAGAATTTCACTGTGCCAAGTACCGAACAGCGTGGCTGGTACAGGACATCTCAAATTTAAAAGACCAAGAAGAGGAACACGGCACGGAATGCCCAAAGCTTGCCAAGAAGGATTCTTCCATGGCCAAAATGTTATTGGGAGATGCTTCCAACACGCTGAATCAATGGTGAGAGCCGTTAGAGGCACCAGAAACGAACAGCTTGGTTCGACAGTGTTACCAAAGGGCAAGGCACAGCCATTTGACTTCTGGCAAAGTTGGTTACCACCCAGTGAAAAGTAACAGGGAGACTGAATTATAATTTACTTGTGTCCTATGGACTTTAAGCCAGAAGTGAGATATTTTTGTCTCATAAATGGATGGAGGCGTAACCTCAGCTGAAAGCAGAGGGGTGTGTGTGTGTGTGTGTGTGTGTATGTGTGTGGGAGGCAGAGAGAGAGAGAGAGAGAGGCTATAACTGTCCTCCCACTTTTGCGTACATTTTGGGAGTGCAGGTGGGGAATTTCAAGGGCTGAAAGATCTTGGGAGTTCCAGTGAAAAACAAATTACCGGTACATCTGACAAGCCTGACGTCTGTTCACTCCTGTCCTGCCTACTGCAATTTTACTCTACCTTGCCACTCTGTTAACCATCCCTGAGACCTCCTGGTATAGGTAAAGGTAAAGGTACCCCTGCCCGTACGGGCTAGTCTTGACAGACTCTAGGGTTGTGCGCCCATCTCACTCAAGAGGCCGGGGGCCAGCGCTGTCCGGAGACGCTTCCGGGTCACGTGGCCAGCGTGACATCGCTGTTCTGGCGAGCCAGAGCAGCACACGGAAACGCCGTTTACCTTCCCGCTAGTAAGCGGTCCCTATTTATCTACTTGCACCCAGGGGTGCTTTCGAACTGCTAGGTTGGCAGGCGCTGGAACCGAGCAGCGGGAGCGCACCCCGCCGCGGGGATTCGAACTGCCGACCTTTCGATCGGCAAGCCCTAGGCGCTGAGGCTTTAACCCACAGCGCCACCCGGGTCCCACCTCCTGGTATAGGGCGGTATATAAATTCAATAAATAATAATAATAATAATAATAATAATAATAATAATAATAATAATAATACCTACCTATCTTCTCATTATACTTTTGGGGACAAGAAGAGAACTGCCACAATTGACATCGAGTATAATGAATCCATAATTAATTCACGATTAATGTGCCTTTTGCCTGTCACTTATAAACAAGGCTAATTAGAGCTTGGGGTTCACCAAGACCTAATTAGCAAATAAACAAACAAAAAAAACCCATCAGGGTTTACAGGGTCAGCGCAGATGGTTTCTGGACAGCCTAGAGCTACAGTGCTTCTATTTTATATATATATATATATATATATATATATATATATATATATATTGGGGGGGGGTTATTTACAATTTTTTGTAAATTGCTTAGCATACTATTAGAGGACATTTATACACATCAATATTAAAATGCAATGCATTGTGCATGCACACTTGTGCAAACACACACATACACACACCCCTATGTATGAAGATGCCTACAAATAAAAAATAAAATCCTTTGAAACATGAAATTCCTTGATGGAGGTTTGAAAAGGTATGGCTCTGGCAGGATGTAATGGGATAAGTATTTGAAGCATCACCAGCTGGCATAGAAAATGCTTTGGTTCGGGATAGTTAGCCCTATGAAAAGTGATCTTGCAAATGGAGGCTGATTTAGCTACATCTATTTTAACTTTTATAAAGCAGGCAGGGGCTGTTTTGGTCCACTAAGTATTTGAGGACTGTGTCTGGTGGGGGGGGGGTGCCGTTGCATTTTCCACTGTTGTTTTTAAGAACTTTGTGGGAAGTAAAAAAACCCCAAACATATTTCAATCTGCTAGCAGGAATTATTTCTGTCGGACATTTTATATTAGCTGCTTTAATGGATCATATCAACCTTGAGCTGAAAAGTAGGTTATAAATAAAATAAATACGTTAAAATATGATAGCGCACTTTGCTCAGATTGACACACGCGTACAGAATTACAGAGCTGAAAATCACAGTGTGAAACCGAAGCGTTAACATGCCATTTGAATTTACTTACTAAAATTGAAATTAGGATGGGTAATCTTATAACCCACCAAGGAACGCTGTGATCGTTCGTATCCCAGCAACTATTGGGAAGAAGGGAGGGAAAAATTTTAAAAAAATATTAATCCCATTTATACGGTAAATAAATTGAGAAGCTGCACTGAAAATGCCAAGCAAATTGGAAAAGGGCAAAACCTCCTAAAAAACAAAACCAGGCACTATTTTCTCTTGCAAAGTAAGTGCTGGAATCATGGAGAGATGGGCAGAAGTGAGGCAGCCACACTAGTAGAGCCCTCAATAACAGGAGAAGCTATAGAAAGCCAGACAAGTCCACCCCTTTTACAGGGCTTGGGGGTGGGGTGGGGTTTCTTTGCTGGCGGTTTGGGGGTCCCAAGGGGGTGCCCTCTTTAGCCCCTGCAAGAGTAGTGAGGTCGCACCTGCCTATGCAGCATCTAGCACGACCTAATGGAAGGATGCACTGGCTTGTGCAGCGTTGGGAGACACATGTGACATCACATGGCTCAGGTGTGACATCACATGGCTCATGTGTGATGTCACATGTGCACACCAGGCCCCTTCACTTTTTGGAGCAACCCGGTGCCTGTGATCCACTGTATTAGCAAAGCAAGCAACTTTTATTAAAAGATGAATTTACCATGTGCTTTGAGTCAGGGGCGTAGGAAGAGGAGGCGGTGGGGGCGGTCCATTCTGGGTGTCATCCCGGAGGGGGGTTGACAAAATCCCCCCAGGTGGATCGCCACACCACACCCTGGGCGCCAATTGTCACACAACCCCCCGGGTGCTGATCGCCCCCAATGGGCGCGGATAGCTGTGCTGATCACTGCACTGATCGCTCCCAATGGGCGCCAATCACCATGCCAATTGCCCCCCTGGGCAGCTCGTCCCACCCCTGGGCGGCTCCCCCCTCGCGTGCACGGCATGTGCGCCACTCCGGGTGCGCAAGTGGCTTTGAGTTAGTTCACACAGTGGCCAGCTGATTTGACTGAACCACACAGGATTGACCCTGCGTGCAAATCCCACGTTCTGTTGTTGAGTGTAGAACTACGTATGACAAGCACTTAACACCCTGTCCAATCTGGTCTCCTCTAGATGTCGTTGAACTAGAGTACCCAGCAGACCACACCCAGGATGGTTGAGGAAGTCTGCTCTATACAGTAGCAGAGAGCAGCCAATATAAAATATTTTTGAAATTATGCATTCATCACCTGTCACTCCCCCTCGTCCCTGGAGCGGGAATGAGCCTCATGAAATGTTTCATAGACACCTCAGGGAAGTCTGACATCCCAAGAATTGGTAATATTGGACATAGCACAATTGCCAAAGGACCCGTGGCGACAAAACGTGGAGGCATCAAGTTTGCTTTCCTTTTTAAACTTACCCAGTGTCCTCCAAATAGACTCTAGACACAATCCATGCGATGATGAACACTGTGGGGATTCCTGGGAGTGGAATACGAAGTGGAGGGAAAGGAGCATTATTAAATAGATCACTTGCACAATTCATCAACATTAGAATGCATTACATGCAAAACATATCCCATGGTGCAAGAACTAATTGCTAGGTAGTGTTAGAAATCCTTTCTTAAATTTAGTTAAATGTTTTAAGTAGCTAAACATGTGGCAGAGGAGAGGGAGAGACTGCTGCTGCTGCCACATTTGTGGTGTTGAAACAATCAAAAGTAAGGTCTTAGGCTGAGGCCCTTGTCAGCCTTGCTACCTAAACCCCATTTAACTGGAGATGCCAGAGACCGAGCTTGGAATAAATGTTTTGTCTGCAGGAAGCCCAACATGAAGCTACAGCTCCCTCATACTATCTGGTCCCAGATTAGCGATTCACTGTGCATAGTGTTGCAACCTGTCTACCGTATTTTTCGCTCTATAAGACGCACATTTTCCCCTCTGAAAATTAAGGGGAAATATGTGTGCGTCTTATGGAGTGAATGCAGGCTCCTTGGCTTCAGTGATAGCAACGCGAAGCCTCCGAAGCGCAGTGGGAGCGCTCCCGCTGTGCTCCGGAGGCTTCGCGTTGTTTTCGCTGAAGCCTGGAGAGTGAGAGGGGTCAGTGCACACCGACCCCTCTCGCTCTCCAGGCTTCAAGGATAGCCGCCTGAAGCCTTACGGAGGCTTCGGGTTCCTTTCGCTGAAGGGTAGGTGCTCCTTCAGCTAATGCACAGCGCCCCTTCAGCTAAGCGGGAGGAGAAATGGAAGGGGCTCCGTTTCTCCTGCCACTTCGCTGAAGGGGTGCTGCGCAGAGAGGCGGAGAATTTTTTTCTTGTTCTCCCCCTCTAAAACAAGGTGCGTCCTATGGTCGGGTGCATCCTATAGAGCGAAAAATATGGCAATTGTGCTTTTAGTTTATACACTTTACTGTGGGCTCGCCCACACTTCTGCTTTTCCCATTTCTAGAACGCATCGGTCTGAGCAGTTTCCCACTTGACCCGTGCTGTCTAGGCAGGAGTCCAAGCAGTTCCCCCCTTGCCCTGCTCCTTTCCCAGGGAGAACCCTAAATCCATGCTAAATCAGAGCAAAGGTCAACCCGGAGAAAACCTGAATTGTCATTTGCTCCGACTGTGCACCAAAGAACGATTTCCCGGGGGGGCAAAGCAGCGGGACGAGAGGAAGTGTGGATAAACCCTGTTATATCTTGCATTTCAGTTGTTGTATTGATTGAATTCATGTTATGGGGTGGCTATACAAATTCAGTGAATGAATGGATAAGCTTGTCTCAGAATTCCCTCCTTCCCAGGAATGCTGGACCTCTCCTCCAGGGGTTTTACGCTTTACACATACACACATACATCATCTTCAAGAGTTCTGGGTCCACCAACCAAACAATCTGAATACCGTACTTTTCTGTGTATAAGACTTATGTTTTTTTCTTTTAAAATTATGCTTAAAAGTGGTGGGCGTCTTATACATGGATAGTGCATAGGGTGGACATTTGATTGGCTGCTGCCATGGCTGTCAGCGGCTATTGTGTGCGTGTTGTTGGTTGCTGTGTCAATGGGTGGTGTTGATTTGCTGACGCTGCGGCAGTTGTGTGGGCGATTGGCAGCTTCTGCTGGCGATGGAAAATAGGCGTGCGGGTGAGCAATTTTCGGCAATCCCCTCTAAAAAAAGCTCAGCAACCCTGGGAAATCCTTCACACACACAAACACCTGAACAACTCTGTGTCATCTCCACCCAATTTTCTTCAATTTGAGTCCCCCCAAATAAGGGGCATCTTATACATGGGGGCGTCTTATACACGGAAAGGTACGGTATCTAGGTCAGGCCTGTACAACATGTGACTCCCACCCCCCAGCCAAACACATCCCATCAACCAGCAGCAGGGGCTGGGTGCATCTCCATTTTTGCTGCTTGTTTGGAAGCGCAGAAAGAGAGATGGAAGTGAGGGAGTCAAGCAGCCACAACGTATGCCGTGTGTGTCCATGTTGCTGGATCTCAAGTTCTGGAGGCCAGACCTAGGAGCTAAGATACAAAGACCCCGTTTTACACAGTAGGGGCAAAGAGAGAAGAAAAGAAGGTTGTGTCAATCTTCTTACCCCATCCAATAAGGAGATATAAGGCGAAGTGTCTGTTAGGAGAGAATATGACCATGAGGATGTGGAGATAAAGTCCTTCAACTAAGAGCCAATAAAAGTTGGCCATTACACAGTACTGGAAAATTACCAAGCTACCCTTGCAGCCGACCTGGAAAGTTACAAACCAAGGATGAAACGTTTGGGTAAATAAATTGCTTGAACACAGTAAATGGCTTCCTTTGTTAAAAATCTTTCTTTGATAGATACAAGCTCTGACATGAGGGACTTCCCCTTCCATGAACTTGCCTGTTGGTCGCCTGAAAGGGCCTCTTTCTATTGTTTGGATTCTGGTCAAATTATAACTTTTAGAAGTGAATGGAAACAAATGCCAAGTGTTTCTCAAAGCTTGCTTCCCTAGTGAAACATTTGGGATTTGTCTTGTCTCCTAAAAACCATCCTGTCTCTCTCTCTCCCTCTCCCTCTCTTTATACCTTGTGTTATTCCTTCCTCCTAAATATCTCCTTTTCATTTCAGGGCAAAATATTCCAGGAATAAAAATGCCACCACCGTCGAGGTTAATCTGGGGCAGGGAGCTAATAATCAGGACCACCAGTTAACCAGAAGTAATTTGGTTTAGGGAAGAGGCTCCTGTCACTTTTTAAAGCTAGTTTATTCTATAGAAGCTGTGCCAGAAGCAAAAATAGCCCTGTGGAATGCATAACGAGCGACTGAAAGCTCTTCTAGCTCTTATGTAACTAAACCGGGGTCAGCAGAAGCAACTCTTTGCTGCAGATATTACATCACCTGGACAACACTGCAGCATATTGATTTATACCGGTTTAACTACAGCGACAAAACTCGCTGTCTTAAAAATTCCTTCTTAAATTAGCCAGAAAAAATGGGGGTGGGGGTGGGGGAGAAATGAAATGAAAACCTAACCTGTGTCTCCCTGCTAAATTCATGATCCTGAACCTCTGAAGTGACAAGCGATGTTGACATCTTGGTCAGCGATATGGGGAGCTCTGTGGAAGGTTTATCAGCCAATCGCATTTAATTAAGGCAAAAGAAAACGGTTCAGGGAGGTTCATTTGAGGGACATGCAAAGGTTTGTGCATGTTTCCCACCATTACAAATTTCCTGGTTTTCATGGCTATGTTGAACAGAGTGGAAATATTAACGTAAGGAAAGGGGAAATCCCCCAAGCAAGGAGATCTTTGATTGCGGTTTTGCACAGTAGATGTCAGATTTTTAGTCCATTTAACTCACAATTTTCTACACTGATTGGCAGCAGTTGTCCTTTTCCTGTAATGTTACATGGGGCCTTTTTTGCAGGACGGGGCTGCAAACTGACTTGATGCTCTCAGTGTACATAATATGTGCCCTTTTCACTGATTTGTGGCCCCTTATCTTTATCTGTAGTCTAATTCTATGCATGGATAGAAGTCCCTCTGTATTTACACCCAGGTAAGTGTATTTAGGATTTAGCTCTTAATTATGTTACATCAACATGGAATCCTATTAATAACTTTTTTATGAATAGCACGGAAGCAAATGTCACAGTTCATCTTCCACCCACTGAATACCCTCTCCAATTCACCATTTGTCACTCTGTATTTATTAAAAACGTTGAATTCAGAAAGTGCTTTGCAATTATTTGACCTTCCAAACCCTGTGAGATAGGTCATTATTATATCAGTTGTTTGGTTTTTTTCAGATGGAGAGCTCAGGCAATGATTTCCCCAAGGCAACAGCCTGAGTATGGTGTTTTAGGGGATGGAAATGGTTTAGTTGCACAAGAACACTAGGTCAACTTTAATTACGCAAACTTGAATTTGCTTGTTTGTGACTGAACCCTATCCAAAAAGAATGACAGTTTGGAAGTGCCCCTAGATCATGGGTAGGCAAACTAAGGCCCGGGGGCAGCATCCGGCCCAATTGCCTTCTCAATCCGATCCGTAGACGGTTCTCAATCCGAACTCATCTACTGTTGCCCATTCATTTCTTCACTTAAAGAAGATAGGGAACTTCTGGCTTTGCAGATGTTGTTGGACAACACCTTCCAACCCTCCTAACTATTGGCCATGCTGGCTGAGGCTGATGGGAGTTGAAATCCAACAACATCTGGAAGGCCACACTTTCCCCACCATGACAAAGATCCTAATTACCCTGAAGCCCCATCAGCGGAGGTGTTGACTTGCACTCAAGACTGAGGGGGCCCATCATGTGTCACACACACGTGACATCATGCACATGTTGCATATGTGTGACGTCATGTGCCCATGACGTCATGTGCCACGTTGTATTGTCAGGAGGAGGCTGAGTGTGGCGGTTCCTCCTCTCTCTCTCTCTCTCTCTCTCTCTCTCTCTCTCTCTCTCTCTCTTAGGAGGAGTTGACTACTGAAGCCATGCTGTGCTTGGCTCCACATTCAACTTCTTCTGCCCCCTCAAGATGAAGGGGGCCCAGCTCCCTCCCAACAAATATAGCGGGGGCCGAAGGCATCTTGGCCCCATAGATTGGTGCCACTGCACACGAGTCTTTATGCAACCTGTCTGCAACCAATATAATGCTCTCTTAAAAAGGTAAAGGGACCCCTGACCATTAGGTCCAGTCGTGGCTGACTCTGGGGTTGCGGTGCCCATCTTGCTTTATTGGCCGAGGGAGCCGATGTACAGCTTCCGGGTCATGTGGCCAGCATGACTAAGCCGCTTCTGGCGAACCAGAGCAGCGCATGGAAACGCTGTTTACCTTCCCGCCGGAGCGGTACCTATTTATCTACTTGCACTTTGACGTGCTTTCAAACTGCTAGGTTGGCAGGAGCTGGGACTGAGCAACGGGAGCTCACCCCGTCACAGGGATTTGAACCGCCGACCTTCTGATCGGCAAGTCCTAGGCTCTGTGGTTTAACCCACAGCGCCACCCGCATCCCTAATGCTCTCTTACACGCCCAATAACACAGCACAGGAAAGATAAAAACGCTTCAAGTCATAGCAATTTGTTTTCTTACCCAGGATGGTTGATCCTCTGAGCAGTGAACTGTGTTACTACCAGAATAGAGGATCTCATCTTTGACCAAGACAGAGATTGCTTTTAGAATGAAAGACAGGAACAAATTCAAATGTATATAGTTCCTAGTGCAGTGAAGTTTCCTACACATGGGGAAAGGATACAAAAACAGAAGAGCAAGTGAGTATCATTTTGCTTACTCTTAGCAAAACGAATACCCTGCCTTAAAGAAAAACCTGCAAATGTCATTTCTTAACAAACCAATGACAGAATATATTAATTAAAATGTTTTTAATGGCAGTTGTTTATGCTGGTTCTGTATTTCATTAGCATCTACAATTGGCCGCTTTGTTTTGACAGCTATTCGAGCATTGCTATGGGTTGGATTCAGACTATGTTAGTCATAATTTCGTTGCATAGATTTCAGTGGGACTAGGCCTGCAACCGTAACCATGTCTCATTATATTCAGCGGGGCTTACTCTAGGTAAGTGGAGAGGGGATTGTAGCTTAATAAACAGCTTACTACCCCACCCCGATTTTTAGGTATACTTACCTAAAAAGGCAAAGAATTATACTTCCTGTAGTCAGAGCAATGAGAGACGCACTGTGTCCAAGGGTGTAAATTGCTTTCACCAAAACATAGAAAATCTACAAAAGAAACAATTTCCATGCATCGGTCACCATAAGAGAGCATAAACAGAACATTCACCAAAATTGGATGATTTATAGTAGTGCCAAGGAATCATGCACAGAATAACATTTGCATCTTCCATATGTAGACCCAGCAATACCTCTCCTCTCCAGGGCCTTAGACATTTGACCTTTATAGTACTCATGGGCAACACTCTCATTAAAAGAAGTGGCCATTGCAGTGCATTCGGCACTATCCATGCCTTAACTCTGGAATTGTTTTCCTTATCAATATTTGAGAGATCAAACCATAATACTGAATGTAAAGAATTGTATTTTTAATATTTTGTTGGAAGCCGCCCAGATAGGTGGGGTATACTCTACTTTTCCGTGTATAAGACTAGGTTTTTTTTCTTTAAAAATTATGCTAAAAAGTGGGGGTCGTCTTATACATGGATAGTGCATAGGGTGGACATTCAATTTGTTGCTGCTGCGGATGTCAGCAACTATTAGGCGTGTTATTGGTTGCTGCATCAATGGCTGGTGTTGATTGGCTGATGCTGTGGCAATTGGGCGGGTGATTGGCAGCTTCTGCCGGTGAGGGGACAGACAAGAGGCGGATTTTTGGACACGTGTGGGTGAGCAATTTCCGGCAACCCCCCCCCAAAAAAATAGCTCAACAACTCTGTGCCATCTCCCCCCATTTTCTTAAATCTGAGTCCCCCAAAATAGGGTGCATCTTATACATGGGGGCATCTTATAGACGGAAAAGTAAGATAAATTATAAATTATTATTATTATTATTATTATTATTATTATTATTATTATTATTATAATTATTATATTGATCTTGTTTGTTGGTGGCAGCATGACAATCAGTATTTCAGAGTTGAAATTCCTTGGAAGAGCTAGAGCTTGGCATAAAAATGTTTGGACTATTGCACACTTGGGAGGGGGATCACAGATTGTATTAGACCCCTGCAAGGCACAAAACCCCTTAATTTTATTTGCATATAGTGATGACATGCAAGGACACATGTTGCTAGCTGCCTCAGAAATATGGAAAGGGTGCGGTGATAGAGATACCGTATTTTTCGCTCTATAACACGCACCCGACCATAACACGCACGTAGTTTTTAGAGGAGGAAAACAAGAAAAAAATATTCTAAATGAAACAGTGGATGTATGATTTTTGTGGTTCATGCTGTGGCCACAGACATGTGATCTGACAGTGAGTTTGGAGTAGCCCAATGCAAAAATCCTGAGGATCCATGTGGATCCATGCTTTGTAACCACGTTTGTGCACCACTGCAGCCCCAGGCAACTGGGTGTGTGATTTTTTTTGGTGCAAGATGTAGCCATGGACATGCTATGTGATCTGATGGTGAATTTGGGGTGACCCAGTGCAAAAATCCTGAGGATCCATGTGGATCCGTGCTTTGTAACAACGTTTTAAGTGGGGAGGGAAAGAAAAGCACTCAAGGGACAAGGAGCACGCATGGGGTGTGTGGAGAAGGATGCTGCTAATAACGAAGAAGAGGGGTATAAGGGGAGAAGGCTCCTCTCTTCTCCCACTTTGCTCCTTTAAAGCAAGCAGGCTCTGCTTTTCTCCCTCCTCCCCGCTCATCCCCGGCTTAGCGAGCTGAAAAACTTTGCTGCTATGGGTAGCGAGCTGAGTGTGGAGGAGAGAGGGACAGAGAGCCTGCTTGCTTTAAAGGAGCCAACCGGTTAGGAGCCGCTTACACTCGTGTAAGCGGCTCCCCTCCTCTCCCACTTTGCTCCTTTAAAGCAAGCAGGCTCTGCTTTTCTCCCTCCTCCCCGCTCGGCTTAGCGAGCTGAAAAACATTGCTGCTATGTAGCGAGGCCACGGAGGAGGGAAGGCAGGGGAACCATGGATCCTCTGCTCACAACTGCAGCAGATCCCCCCCACCACCCGTAGGCATTCCCTCCATAACATGCACAGACATTTCCCCTTACTTTCTAGGAAGAAAAAAGTGAGTGTTATGGTGCGAAAAATACGGTAATACATTTATTTTGTATCTCTTGCACCAAATGAAAATTACTGCTTTTTAATATCCTGGATGTAATGTTATTGGAAATCCTGTATTGGGGGGGGTGCTTTTAAATTCTGTTTAATGAAATGTTTTTTTTAATAACCAAGTGAGTATAGTGAATATGAATCTACGGATGCTTCAATAGAATTGGTGCCTATTGATCTGAAAGCCATTCCCAATTATGTGAGAGTTCATTGCATACATGGCCCAAAGTACATTTCTTTCAACCAAAGAACTGTAAAAATATATCCATCTATTTAGCCATGCAGAAAAAAATCTATGCAGCTTTCTATTAATATGCTTGCTGGCTATAATATACTAAAGTTAGCTTGCTTGAGCATGGCTTGACAGGCCGTTATTTCCACTTCAGAGCATATTTCGCACTTTTGCTTAGCAAGGCGAAAAAAGTTGTTAGCCAAAAGGTCAACTTTGTTGCTGCGGGGTCTACAGAGACTTCCAGAATCTACCAGAATTCGACAGTCATCTCTCCGGAATGAGTCGTGCTGCAGTTTCACATTTGACACTGCTTGACATGAAACCACAGCTTAAGAATGCAGGAAGAGGCATGTTAGGTCAGAAGAAAGGTCCGTCAGTGGTGTGCCATCAGAGGACTAGTGGGGCTAGGCTTTTCCCCTAAAGGTTCCTGGTAAACAATAGAGTATTAAAGTCTGGCGCCTCTTTCACAAAACCTGGGAGCCTTCTGCCTGGCTTAGCGAGGGTGGCATGATGCTCCAACAGGGCCCAAGAGCCCTTCCACCACCTTCCCAAAGCCCTTTCAGCTTTGAGAAGGAGGCACCAGGGATCTAGCATCCTGCCAGGAAATGGTCTGAATCAGATGATTGGGGAATGCATTCTCAGGCAGATCAGCTCCTCTTTGAAGAGGAGAAGGAGGAGGGGGAAGATTCGCCCTCCATGTTTCCAGCGGTTTCAGGAGCAGAGAGAGACATAGACACTGAACAGCTTAGGCAGGAGTTACCGAGTTACGAGATAATGGAAAGAGAAACAGAAGGGAGGGAACAGCCAGCAGAGACATCATTAGAAAGTGTGGGGGATGCTCCCTCCCCAAGAACTAAGAGGTCTGTCCGTATTAGAGAACAAAGAATGCGCCCAAGATGTTGCTCGAAGGAGGAGGATTTAGAGTAGCCAACTGCTCTCCTTGCGGAGAGATGTGAATTTTTGCTTGCAACAAGGTCCAAGAGTCCTCCTGCCACCTTCCCAAAGCCCTTTCAGCTTTCACAAGGAGACACCAGGGCTCTAGCACCTTTCCCAAAGCCTGTGAAGTTTCTGCCCGACTTAGGGAGGTGCAAAGCTCACACACGCAACACACCCATCACCCTCACAAGCTGCCACTTCTGGTCCTAACTGTTCTGCTTCAAAAAATTTAACTGTGGTTCATCTAGCCCCATCTCCTGCTTACCAACTAAACACCTCCTCCAGGAAGCCCACAAGCAGGACTCAAGGGCAATAACAACATAGGAAAAGGTGTTCTGGATCAGGCCAGATGCCCATTTGGTCCTGCATCCTGTTCTCATAGCGGCCAACCAGTTGGCTATGGGAAGCCCACAAGCAGCACCTGAAGGCAACATGACTCTTCTTACTTGTGTTCCTCAGGAACGGGTGTTCTGAGTTATACTGCCCCCAACAGTGGAGGTGGAATATGAGCATTGTGTCAAAGGGGCCCCTTTAACCTGGAAGAAGATGTGAAGGTGCAAACAGAAATTTTTCTCACAGTGTCAAGGTTCAGGGAATCCTATCCCTCTCCCCGTGGCAGCCAAAAAAGCAGGTAAACAAGAAGAGTCCTTACCACATAATTTATTCAGTAGTCACAGAGAGAGACAAAGGAATGTAGTCCCTATTAAATAATGGCATTACTCCGAGTAAAGCCTAACCCCCTCCGTCTCTCTTATCTAACATCATCCCTGACTTGGGCTTTCTGCCTCTGAGCTTTCTGTTCCACTACCTTCAATGCCCGTCTAGTCCTGGGAGAGGGGGGCTCAGGAATGCTCTCTAAAGACACTGAGTCTGTCAACTGTTAATTCCCCAGTGTTCCTTCTTCCTGCTGTTCCTCTCCCAGTATTTCCCAGCTTTTCCACTCTGCAGTCTCTGAACTATATCCTTCTGCAAACCACTGTTCTAAATCCACACTGCCCTCCTGTTCTCGGGAAGGTTCAGGAGAACAGGGGGCTGCCGCCACCATTCCTCCTCAGTGCAGCCCCTGACACACAGTTTCTAACCTTCTTGTGCTTTCTGTGCATATTGAAAAGGTGGGTGCTCTTGGTTCAGGGGCCCCCACCCGCTAGTCTTGCAGCCCCAGCAAATGCCCAACGTTTCCACTGCCTGCAGCCAGCCCCCACCATGGCGGCTGGTTTTTTTAATTGACATTATTTTGCAAATCACAGCAGTCACATGCACAGCCTACCAGTTGCAAATAACGTGGAAAACATAGAAGCTTTAATTACTTGAAATATACTTGTCACACCAGGAAACAGCTTTTCTCTAAATCAGACTGTTATTGCTGCTACAGACACTCCCTGTCAGACGTAAGAAAGCACCATAATAAAATGTCATATCTTCAATCCGTTCTGCACTGTACAGCTGTAGAAGATTTGATTGCATTATGCAATGCGAAGGGCGTCCCCCCCCCAATACAAATGGTCTTATTACTTTGTTTTAGAGATAAGAAGCTTGCAAAGATTCGTTCCAAGCATATATGCTTCATTAGCATTTTCATTTTCCTGCACTTCAATTTTGAAGGCAAAAGCGTGTGATCAAATATTCTGCTTTGCCCCCCTCCTAGTAAATCAGAATATCAAGTATAATAAAAGTATAGCATCAGGCAAGAAATACATAATTTCACAGAAATGTTGCCTGAGTCGGCCACAGCAATTTAATCAGGACATGTGTAGCATAGTACAGCCGTACCTTGGTTCTCAAACTTAATCCATTCTGGGAGTCCGTTTGACT